ATGACAGTACGTACACACTCGTCGAGTGCTGATGGAAATATGAGGTTTTGTTTAGAGAAAACGATGACAGTTGTTCACATGTCTCAAACAATTCATTTGCGGCGAAATTTGGCGGTGTTCCGAATTTCCCCACGTTCCGAATACCCCAACCTTCCCCTAATTTCTTCGTTTTGCGTGAAAAAGTTGGTTATTGTTCCCATGATCATGGTTTTCCGTATTTGAAATCAAAATCACGAATTTTATAGAATCAGCTCGAACAAATCTTTGAAAAATACAGCCAAACCATATTAGATGACAATCAAAATTCCGTTGCCGTTAGAATATCAATTTTTGCTTAACCCTCTAAAAGGTTTCGCATTTATTTTTCCCAGGGCTGGGAGTACTGGTACTTGGTTGATTGTTGGCCATAGATATTTTAAGAAATATTCATAATCCTGGATTCCTCATGGTTTACTCAGAAAATGCGACTGACATAAATCAGAGAACAATCAAATTCATTGATTAAAAGTGTCAACAATGTGTCTAATTTGGAAACCAAATAATTTATTTTGTCAAATCTTTGTTTTTGAACACATTTTTGTTAATAACTTTACAATCACACTACATAGACAAATATTGCCAACAACAAAAATGAAGAGAAAACATTGACGAATAAAAATTCCCTTTGAAGCAATGTGATCCGATGTACGGTTTACGTTCTACAGGCATTCAAATGTTGCCCGTCTAGAGGCGGTTGTATGCATTAGAGGGTTAAATAATATAAAAAATTGTATCAATTTAAATAATTATTTAAAAAAAAGTGCAGATTTTCAGACGATTGACTGTTTCCATACGATTAGAGCCCATTTTTACCTACATCATGATTACAAGAGTTTAAAAAAGAAAAATCATAGATTTGACTTTTTTCCATATCAAAGTCGAAATTATTCGAAAAATAAGAACAAAAGTGATAATGGATGGACTATATACGAGTAGATAGAAAGAAATACGATTTATTGAAGGAAAATAAAACATTTTTTTGCATTGTTTATCTTTGATTGAATAAATTGTTGTAAGTTTCATCATATTTTTAGTCAAAAACTTTCATTAGATACTGTGCGATCGGTCCCTATATTCATCATTCATCCATCTTTTTATCCATCTTTTCAAAATAATCAAACACACTAATGTCCCTGCCGAGGATACCATTGATTTCTGATGTTATAATTTGGTTGCCGCAAACAATTTCGGTTGTCCTCATCTTCGCCACCTGTGCAATCTGCAAAATCGTTGCAAAGTTTTGTACGATCGATACATGAGCCATCAGTGCATCTAAATTCTTCAGGTGAACACCCTCCACCTGCGTGAATTGGAATAAAAAAAAAATTTGAGAGATATTGATGTTGTCCGAACAGTCCATTTCGTATTTAAAATCCAAGAGAAATATATTAAAATCATTCATGGAAGAATCTAAAACAAATACCTTCTCTCGCATACTTTACATGTAGAAGTCATACTTACGCCGTGGACAGCCCACTTCATCTTCACCATCCGGACAATGTCTAGCCTGTGCTTTGTCACACCTATAATGACTTGAAATACACGATCCATCATTACACTGGAACTCGTTTTCATTGCAGATCGGCTCGTTGTAAGTTACAATTAATTCTGCAGCTTTTGTAGTGCGTCCATGTCGATTGGTGACTGTGCAGTGATAACGACCACCGTTGCCCATTGAAATGTTGTCAAATTGTAGATAGTTATCGATGGCTTCCACATTGCTGAAAGTATATTCGATTGATCATTTCATGTTTCCTTGGAGTACGATCATGATTTTCTTAATAGAATTTGGAATAACAAAAAATTACTTTGGAAGAGGGCGATTTCCTTCGTAGTGCCATTCAATGGTTATGGGTTTATCACCTTTGGTATAGCAATAAACACGAGCTTCTTCTCCAGTTCCCACTTTTAACGGCATTTTGGGACTTATAGTAATCTGTGGCGGATCTTTTTAGGTATTAAATCAGATACAGATTGGTGTTTGAGGAAAAAAAAAGATTTTTATTCGATAACTCAAGTAAACTCTTACCAGCAATAATTATTTCGGCGGTTGCAATTGGATAGACACCATTGTTTTCGTGTACAACACATTCATAAATACCTGCCGCATCTCTCTGCACCGGATCAATAATCTGGAATATGATTTTTTGTTTGAATTTGATTCAGATCACTCATTAGATTTTGATGAAAATTAAGTTTCCAATCAAATTGAATTTCATTACAATTTCGAAAAAAAACCTTATTTTGCTTCAAATGAAAGAATTTTTTGCTGGTTTAACCAGCCTGGTTATGAAAAAATCTGCTTTCAGTAAAAAAAACGACTAAATGTTTCTCCCCTCTTCTAAAACTCTTACCAAATCACTGTCCGATAAACGTGAATTGCTGGGCAATGAATGTCGATCTGCTCTTCTCCAGGATGGTGTTTTACTATCATTTTCGATTTCACACGAGATTTTAACTCCATCACCCAGAGACACTTTG